TTTAAAGTTTACAAAGCACTATCTTAACTATTCTTCACAGCAGCCAGAAAGGATGCAGACCCTGAGATGTAGAAGTAGACTTGGATAAAAGGACCCAGTAAGTAGCAAACCCAGAAATCAAATCCTTAGCACCTGCTGTGCATCCTATGCATCCGCACTGTCCCCAAAGAAACAAACTATTTGCACCTGTCCCCTTTAAGTTACTTCTTTTAGCTGGACCAAGAGTCAACGTGACATGAGGCAGACTAATAGGAGAAAACTGGAGGCAAAAGTTTCTCTTGAGCCTGCAGGGTCATGATTGCCTTCTGCTCAAAATAGCCCATGCGTCAGGGGTGCCTGGGTGGCTCAGTCGGTTAAGCAACTGACTTCAGCTCAGGTCATAATCTCAGTTTGTGAGTTCGAGCCCCCCAATGGGCTCTCTGCTGTCTGCACAGAGCCCACTTCGGATCCTCTGCGCCCCCTGCCTCTCCCATGCTTGCTGTCTCTCTCTTGCTCTCAAAAATAAACATTTATTGGGGTGCCTGGGTGGCTCAGTCAGTTAAGCATCTGACTTCGGCTCAGGTCATGATTTCATGGTTGGTGAGTTTGAGCCGCACCTGGTAAGCTCAAGTCCTGTGTGGGGCTCCACAGTCTCTCTCCCTCTCTCTCTGCACCTCCTGAGATCTCTCTGTCCCTCACTCATTCTCATGCTCTCTCTCACACACACACAAATAAATAAATAAATGAAAATTTTCATACATAAAGAAATTAAATTTATAAATAAACAATCATTTAAAAAATAGTCCATGTGCCAAAGTGGCATAATTTGGGGAAACTTGTCCCAAACCCCTTCAAACTAGAAACAATCTTTATGCCAAAGTGGCCCATCTTGGGGCGGCCTGCTCTGGGCCCCTACACACCATATACTGCCAAGAATGGCCCTTGGCAACGTTGACCGTGCAGCCCGAAATAAAAAAAAAAACAAAAACAAAAACAGGCAAGATGATTCCAAGCTTAAAATAGTGCTGGGAAATATACACCTGACTCCTGCAGGGAGGAAGAGAATCTCACCCTCAGAGTCAGAGAGAGAGGTACCCAAGGGGGCTAAGTATGCCTTAGCAAGAGAAATGCACAATCAATGGAGAGGCCACACCTGCCCCCAATGCACCCCCCCCTTCCCCCACAGGAATGATTCTTCTAACTAGCATCCTAACAGGATACAGATTGGCAACATACAGACATACCTCTCACTACGCGGTTTAGGAATGTATATCAAGAGCCACAAAAGTGGTGTGAGCCGAAGCAAAAGCATCAAAACCTTCTGGGGAGATCAAGGGACTGCAAGCTGTTCCCTATGGATTTGTGTGCATTTTATTCTAGAAGTCAAGAGAAGCCACTTAGAGTTTTAAACTCCAAAATAACGTAGGAAGATGGACTGAAAAGAGGAAAGTTGGAGGTGCAGAGGCCAGGCAGGAAGCTTTGTAGTAGGCAAGAGATGAAGGATACCAGAACTAAGGTAAAATTAATAATTCCAATCGAGGGGCACCCGGCTGGCTCAGTCGGTAGAGCGGGGGACTCTTGATCTTGGGGCTGTGAGCTCAAGCCCCATGTTGGGCAGAGAGCTTACTTTAAAAAAAATAATTCCCATTTAATTTCCCACCATAGACCAGACACTGAGCTAAGTGCTTTACATTTAGCCTGGGGGGCTCAGTCAGTTAAGCATCCAACTCTTGATTTCAGCTCAGGTCGCCATGTCACGATTCGTGAGTTGAGTCCCGCCTGGGGCTCTGCACTGACTGTGCGGAGCCTGCTTGGGATTCAGTCCCCCCTCTCTCTGCCCCTCCCCCTGACTGCTCTCTCTCTCTCTCTCTCAATATAAATAAAAATAAAACTTAAATTTAAAATACTTGAAAAAGTACTACCCTACAGCTGTTATGCCTCTTGAACAAAAGAGGCTCCAAGTTGAAAACCAGGTGGAACTGGTCCTCATAACTGCTGCCACTGCAGATGACCGAGTAGCCACGGACTTTGTTCGCCAGCTCTCGATCCCCAAATCATACTCTTGCTGCGACTTCCTAGGCACTGAAAGAGAGCTCTTCTCCACAGGGCAGGAGGCAGAGGTTATAGCTCAGGTATACGTGCTCAAAGCCAAGGATTTTTACATTCTGGGCTTTAAAGACGTCAGCTGCACGCGTGCCATGTAATTACATACCGTCAGCCAGTTTCTGGGAAAGGAAGTCATCATTCTAGTGTTCATATTCCTTGTCATAGTTGTTTATGGTTGGTTACAGTCAATAATCTTGTTTGACAGAAAGACAGTCCCCACTCAGCTCACATTAGAGCCTGGCCGTCAAAGCAGTCATCTGTTCGACTCTTGATGTCGGCTCAGGTCATGGTCTCGCAGGCCATGAGTTCAAGCTCCACACTGGGCTCTGCACTGACAGTTCAGAGGCTGCTTTAGATTCTCTCTCCCTCTTTTTCTGCCCCTATCCCATGCGCGCGCTCTCTCTCTCTTTCTCTCTCTCTCTCTCTCAAAATAAATAAACTAAGAGAGAGAGAGAAAGAGAAATGTACCGGTTTACAGCTGATATGTAGGCATTGTCTGACTACCATGGAGGCAGGCTGCTCAGCTATAATTCCAACACCAGCATCAGAGTTATATTAAGAAATCTTTCCTTTTCCAGACATATTGAGTCTTGCTCAGAAGTCGCTAGCAAGCAACCATTTTGCTCAGAAACTGCTGGGAAGCTTTACCCAGGGACCACCATCCCTGCAGGAATCAGCAGGCCATCCAGAACACAGGCGGGCAGTTCACACAAATTAGATAACATTTGTTCCCGGCCATTGCTTGCAAACCAGTTCTGTGCGAACTATTGCTCTCAGCCATCTAACTTTCTCCACTGTCACTCTCCCTTTCCAAGGGAGCACCTGAAATAATGGAGACTATAAAATGGCCGAGAAGGGTCACAGCACACATGTGACGCGGGACCACGCTGGCATTTCCAATCTGCCGCGTGAGCCGCGCGGTGGCAGAACACAGGAGATGCTGTCTCCGTGCGAGATCTCACGCAGAACCGTGTCACATGAGCCTGATCAAGTGCAGCTGTTCAGGGGGAGCAGGGAAGAGTCTGGAGCCCCTCAGCCGCTACCGCAGCAGCCCAGATCCAGCTCCACAGGACACGCTTCCAGAGTACGAGGAGTGATCCTTAAGGCAGTAAGACACCCCAACATGGAAATATGTAAAGCTGTTCCCATCGGGAAAATGTGGGTAAAAGAAATGATAGCCGGGAGCTTCTCCTAGTAGGTGATGTCCCAAAGAAGCAGGCTTGGGTGACACGGGCACACGCACACACATCAGACACTGACCCTGGCACCTTTCAACCGCAGCACCATGGGGGTTATTTGCTATGATGAGGGTCAGTAACAGTAATCTTCTCAACAACACGTATCCAGCTACTGTGGTGCTGACCTTACCTAACCCCTCTCTGATTCTGGCTAGTTCCACCCGCTGTTAAAGTTATTGTATCCAATATTCTTGCATGAGAAGGAGTAAAGATATGAATTCTCCCCAAACTAATATTTACATGTAAAGAAATTTTCATGAAAATCCCCAAGGTATTTTTTCTTTGAACCTAAGTTTCAAAATCATTGTATAATTCATCTGGAAGAATGGCAAAATATATTTTTTAAAATGTTAAAGAATATCAGGTGGAGGGCAGATAAGGGCTTGAATTACGATAATGCTATGGTAATGAAGAGGGAGGTAAGGGTTTAGAAATCAGAGATGAAATCATCAGTGGAACAAAACAGAAATCCTTACAACAAATCTGAACTACTCAGTTTACTAACAATGGGAGTAGGGGTGGGGGTGGGGGTGAAGATCCTACCTTACATAATACGCCAATAATAAAGTACATATGAATTATAGATTTAAACTACAAAATTGAAACCGTAAGAATGCCAGTGGAAAGCAAATGGGCCATTGTTTATGTAATATTTTTGATAGGGAAAGGAAGATTTTAGGCATGATAGTAAAGGCAAAATCCATAAAAGTTAAAGATTTGACTACATAAATTTTAAAAATACATAAGTAGGGGCGGCGTCTGGCTGGCTCAGTCGGTAGAGCATGTGACTCTTGATCTCGGGGTTTTAAGCTCCAGCCCTATACTGGGTGTAAAGCTTACTGAAAAATAAAATCTTTTTTATTTTTTTATTTTGAGAGAGAGAGGGAGAGAGCTCACACACGAGCACGTGAGTGGGGGAAAGGCATAGAGAGAGAGAGAATCCTAAGCAGGCTCCATGCTGTCAGCATACAGCCCAACACACGGCTCAGTCCCACGAACCATGAGATCATGATCTGACTGAAAACCAGGAGTAAGATGTTTAACCAACTTAGCCACCCAGGAGCCCTGAAAAATAGAATCTTGAAAAAAAAAAAAACCCACAATAAAGACCATATAAAGTCCTAATTGAAAACTCTTTGGGGAAAATGAAAACTACCATTAACAATTTAAAAGACAAAGAAACTCACTTCGAAAAAAATATTTGCAACCTAAGAAAGGATTAATGTCCTTTATATATAATCAGCTTATCAATCAGTAAGTAAAAGGATATAAAAGCAAAAGGAAAAAATAGAGCAAAGGGTATGAACAGGCTATTCCTAAAAAGCAAATAAACACATAAAACATTTTTATATATTCATTAATCAAAGAGTCAACACAAAAAATCCCATTGTTCACTTATCAAAATGACACAAATTTCTCAAATAATACCCAGCATCAGCATGATTTGGAAAGCTGACGCGTTACCATTGTAGATGTGAAGAAATCATTTTCATTCAGAGAAAAAAATTATGATCGTTATGAAAGAAAAAATTACTCATCACTTTTTAAAAATCCTGTAATATTAAATTTCATGAAAACCCTTAAAAAAAAAAAAAAAAAAAAAGGAAGGAAGAAAGAAACCTAAGACGTTGGTAAGCCCAGCTCCGGTCGGGGCTAGGAGTGGTAAGCTAAGGTTACCTAGGAGATAGTTTGCAGCCATCTTGCAGGTAGGTATGCAGGTTCCCAGTTGCTGCAAGTAATAGTCCCAGGTATGGAGGGGAAGGCTTCATCGGCCTAGAAGAAAACTCAGGATGGAATTGGACACCAACAAAATAGGGGTGATCTGAAATGAGAATAACCATGATGCAATTGAGGCAGACAAACAAGAGAGATAAGAGAGCTGCTTTCAAGGTCTTATCTTTTCATAAGAAAACACATCAAACAGTGAGACAATTAACCCGTTATCATTGCCAGTGACTTTCATGAGCCATCTTCACAGCAGAATTTCACACGGCAAAACACATCTCACTTGATAAGAGATCTGGCGTTTTCTCTGCGCAAGGTGTTAGCGTGAGCAGAATCAAGCCAAATTTTTGAATGGAAAGTGAATCCTGCCTGCCCAAAGCCCACCTGCATTTTGAAAGCTCTTCATAGACTTACACTGGCTCCATTCTAATGGTATCCCTCGCGCTATGGGCTAACTGTAGGCCACTGGGTCTCCTAGGTGGCTTCCGGCCATTTCCTACAAGGTCATTTCCGTTCCCAAGGGTAAGAGTCCCAGGGAATGCAGCAAGTACAAGTGCTTTTCTAGTCACAGCTTTAGGGCAGAGATTAATTGGAGATGGCATCATGACAATGAACTTGCACGCCTACTGCAGCCTAAGCCAACCGATCTGGGAGGAGGAGTCTCGGAGCGATATAAAAGGATGGCCTGTCAACGTGTTAATGGTGGTAATGGCTCCAGGTGGTAAGAGGTCAAGATATTTATATTTTCTTCCTTATACTTTTCCCTATCATGTGAAACTTTTCCATGAGCATATGTTCCTTACATCGTTGGGGGAGTGGAGGGGATATTAAGCGATTTTCATACTGAGGGTTGTCAAAAGCTCCTACACGAACAATTCAAGTTCTGTTAGGTGTATTAGGAAGAGAAAAGTAGCTTTACCTAGCTACTTTCAAACACACGAATCCCGTTTTAGAATGGAAAAAATTAAATGGGCAACATTTCCAAATCTCGGTAGAAATTGTACAGGATGGCAAATTCCTTGGCCAATCAGAACGCTCAAGAACTACGTTTTTTCTCCCCGATTAGGAAGCAACTCCTAATCAAGCAACTCCCTAGAAATCTGGCAACTCTCTAATCCCATAATCACTACAGTACAGAACATGGTCAGTGCCATATTCCCTACTTTAAAATTTCTTTAATTGGGGTGCCTGGGTGGCTCAGTCGGGTAAGTGTGGGACTTCGGCTCAGGTCATGATCTCACAGTTCATGGGTTTAAGCTCCATGTCAGGCTCTGTGCTAACAGCTCAGAGCCTGGAGCCTGCTTAAATTCTGTTTCCCTTTCTCTCTGCCTTTCTCTCTCTCAAATAAATGAATAAATGAATGAATAAATAAACAAACAAACACACCAAGAATATTTTTAAAAATGAAAGATAAATAAAAATCTAGTATGGAATTCAAAATCACAAATCTCCATCACTTACCACTGGAAACCAAAAGCTACAACAGTGAGGAATGATGATTGAACAGAAATGCCCACTCTTGTAAGGTTATCATTTAAAGCTTTGCTATACAACATGGCAGCTCCTAGCCACATGTGGCTATTTAAATTCATTCAGATTAATTGAGCACATCTCAAGTGGTCAATAGCCACACATGGCTAGTGGCTACCATACCGAATAGGGCAGAATAGTCCATCATTGCAGCAAGTTTAACTGGACAGCTCTGAGTCCAGAAAAATCCAGTGTAGAAATCCTCTACATCACATCTAGGAAAAAGCCTCTTTGAATTAGACATTCAGGTAGGAAAACTTGGTGAGGAGAATGCTACCTTCTCCCAGGAATGTGTCCCCTCAAGAAAAAAAGAAACCATCCACTCTTAGAAAAGAAACTAAGCAAGGCACCTGGGTGGCTCAGTCGGTTAAGTGTCCGACTTCGGGTCAGGTCATGATGCCACGGTTCGTGGGTTCGAGCCCCGTGTTGGGCTCTGTGCTGACTGCCAGCTCAGAGCCTGGAGCCTGCTTCAGATTCTGTGTCTCCCTCTCTCTCTGACCCTCCCCTGCTCACGCTGTCTCTCTCTCAGAAATAAATAAAACACTTTAAAAAATTACGAAAAGAAACTAAGCAGTGTAGCTTTAAATTTAATATGCAATAATTCTTACAGGACAGCATCTAAGGATGTCTTTGAAAGAAGCAGATAGTAATTGTGCTTTTTGTACAACTACACACCGAAGCCAAGCAATGAATCGTGTCATAGAGAGGAACAAAATATTTGAACGAATGGACCACTGTTCTGAATTAGTTTCTCCAAAAAAAAATCCCTTATGCCAAAATGAGGAAGGAAACTAAAAAGGTTTTACTTTGATGGTGTTCTAGATCAGTCAGGTAAGGTATCTTAAATAGTGCTCTTAATTGCTTTGAATCACATTCTGAAGTTTATACTAATGTCACGTTTTGTTGTTCCTTTTAGAACTCTTTTAGGAATGTCGAGATTCACGGATATGATTCCAAGGGGCAGCTAAGATCAGAATCTTTGGGGGGGAATTTCCCTTAATAAAATGAATTTCTTTGCAATCAGCTTTTTAAAATTGCAGGATTTCACAGCATCTCTCATTTCCTTTCCAACACGCACAAGATTTGAAAGGATCGATAGGAATCTAAATCCGGGTGATAAAAGAGGCATCTAAGTATTTGCTGACAGTAATGAGAGCCAGGAGAATTAAACGAAAAGTACAGACTTGGATGGAGTAAACAAATAGTTATCTACTTAAATTCTCTGCCTCTCACATGCCAGAAAGATATAAGGGACTTCAACCCCAAACAGTGATCCACACTATAAAAATTCTAAATGATGGGCATTTCCATCAGAGAGACCCAGAAAATACACCCCCATCTCCTAATTCAAAACTTCAGGCGCGGACAGAAAATCTTAGGTGGAATGACCACTGAAAACAAGAATAAAATCCCCAGAGGTGGTCACAGGCCCTGGGTGGGCTCCAGCCGTGCCTGTGACTAGCTGGATGGCCCTGGGCAGGTTACTTATCCTCTCTGCACTACAATCAACTTCCCGGGAAAGTGGGAATAACATTACCTGCCTTGTCAATTATTTAAGTCATGCAGAGTCCCTAGCAAGGCGTCTAATGAGAAGCATCTAGTGAGTGTGCACTCAGTGTCCACTGCTTTCCCTCTTTGAGGGCCCAGGTAACATGTTACTGCATTCAAAGAAGCCTTCGCCAACTTTAATTCTCCTCCCTGCCCAGGATTCCTGAAATACCTAAACAGACTAGAGACAGAAAAGGAAAGGGGCAGAGAGAAGTAATTTGAAGTAGAGGATGGTGACATGGGCTAAGATGGTAAAAGTAAGAAATTTAGAAGAATAAGTAGTCTGAATATCTGTAGCCTAAAGTAGATAGGTTGAAAAGATAGGTTCTAGAAAGTCATGTTACCATTTTCAGAGTATCCTGCACAAACTAAGAATTTGGTAATAAGAGTGGTTTATCCAACACATTAGTGTCAACTGCACTGCACAGTCACAGCCCCGTCCTCAGTAGGAGGTGTTGCAGAGGGGAAAGCCTGGATGCAGGGAGAAGCTTTAGGACTACTCTGGGTTGGAGTCACCACGCACTGGACCCAGGGTGACAGGGATGGGAACGCAATCCCAAACTCGGTCTTTCTTTCTCAAGATGCATCTACAGCACTTGACAGCTGATTACAAGTTGGGGGTATAAAAGGGAAGAAGAACTGGGGTGCCTGGGTGGCTTAGTCGGTTGAGCGTCCGACTTTCGCTTAGGTCATGATCTCGTGGTTCGTGGGTTCGAGCCCCACGTCGGGCTCTGTGCTGACTGCCGGCTGAGAGCCTGGAGCCTATTTCAGAGTCTGTATCTCCCTCTCTCTCTGACTCTCCCCTGCTCACGCTGTCTTTCTCTCTCTCCTAGAAATCAATAAAAAATATTTTTTTTAAATTTTTTTTAATGTTTTATTTATTTCTAGGAGAAAGAGAGACAGAGACAGTGTGAGCAGAGGAGGGTCAGAGAGAGAGGGAGTCACAGACTGAAACAGGCTCCAGGCTCTGAGCCGGCAGTCAGCACAGAGCCCGACGCGGGGCTCGAACCCACGAACCGCGAGATCATGACCTAAGCGAAAGTCGGACGCTTAACCGACTAAGCCACCCAGGCGCCCCGAAATCAATAAAAAATATTAAAAAAAAAAGGGAAGAAGAACTAAATAAATCCAATTTGAAGCCTGATAGTCTAGGACAGTGGTTCCCAATCAGGGCAAGTGTGCCCCTCAGGGACATTAGGCAACGTCTGCAGATGGTTTGGAGGGTTGCAACTTTCGGAGGTGGGGACGATACTACTGGCTTCCTGTGGGTAGAGGCCAGGGATGCTGCCACCATATCCTACAGTGCACAGGACGGCCCCCACCACAAAGAAGGATCCCACTCCCAAAGTCAATGGCGGCAAGGGTGAGAAGCGCTGGACAAGGAGACTGATGATAACTTAACAGAAATAGTCAGGAGGAAGAACTAGTTTGGAAGCATGTAAATTTAATTTTAAATAAGTTGAGTTAGAAGTCCTAGGAGAATATCCTGATAGACAAACAGGTCAAGCAGGCAACTGAACATGTTAAGTTCAAGTTAGTTAAATGAAGTATATACGTGTGCGTCCCAAACAGGGGTTAGCAAACGTTTTTGTAAAGGGCCAGGTAGAAAGTAACGTTAGAGCAAGAGCTGGGGTCAGCTGTAAGCATGGGCTGACTCTATCTTTGCAGCTCTCAATGAGAACCCTGTGCTCTCATCATTAATGGTGTACGGTTTGTGCCTATGCTCCCGAGGGTGTCCCAGGCCACACACAATCAACTTCTTCAGTGATCTCCCTCAACAAAAGTCAAGTCCCTCTGCGCTGTGTTTTTGGTTTTACTAAGAACTTCCGTGGATGTAGGGACTAGTGTGCAAAAGTCAAATGACTGGCCCACACTTGACCACAGAAAGCAGTACAGGAAGGCAGACTCCAGGTACGATGAGGGGCCAGGTCCCACACACAACAGATGTCAACACCGGTCACCAGTAGTGAGGGGCGCGCTGCCTGCCTTTCCCAGAACAACTACCATAGAGGCTAGCAACTGCAGACGGCCCAGAAAGGGGGCGGGGATGGTAAGGAGGCATAGGCTAGTGGAACTGGTAGACTCGGAACAACGTATCATTTTATGGTAGATTGACTAGTGGGCCCCAACATCATCAGGATTATTCGCTGTTTTCTCATGTAATTTATATCTAGGTGTATTATTTATGTTTAGTTGTGTATTTCCAAGGGGAGAGGAAAAGAAGGACAGCAAACAAAATAAATCTCAACTGGTATCTTCACATACAACGACAAATTATATCTTCTTATACAACAACAAATAGACATTAATTTACCACGAGTTTTCAAAAACAAAAAGCCCACTTACTTGCCAGTTCAATGATTTCCATCCTCTCCCCATCGACATCCTGACCTACAAAACTCAAGTCCTTCTTTTCAAACTGACCAATCAGGCTTGGGTTCACCTGGAAAAACAAGAAATTAAGTGTCTTTGAGCAGCAGAGCCATACAGATGTATCAGCTTATGAAAATGATCTGTATTGATCCAATCGGACTGAAGAAAAACTTCCATGTCTAGGAGAGATGTGTGTTGCCTCAGCTGCAGCTCATAGTCATCTTGCAACTATGAGGGAGACCAGCCTAAGAGCAAGGTAAACACACAGAAAAGGGAAGGGCCAAGAGAATCCCGGCATAGTAGAAGCTCTGATCATACCAGGCCTGGAGCCTGCCCAGCCTCCGAACTACCTATTATCTGAGATAACTAATTTTTTATTGTTGAGGCTGGTTTGAGTGAATAACAAGCTGGGATTTTGATTCTTCCCAGCCAAAAGCATCACACGTGATACACCAATTACTCCTGGTATACATAGTCTGCATTTTGGAGGAACCTATGCTTCTCATGTGACAATCTCAGCAGTAACTCTTACTAATCATGTGACAGTAAGGGCTCTTGCTCGGTGTAGACTTCCAAAGAGGTTCTCAAACCAAGAACCCATTATGTGATACCCGAAGATGCGTCCGTCTCTAACCCGAAGATGCATCTAATCTGGTTCAGAAGATGTAAGTTCCCTTTTCCCAAATGTGATAGAATAAAGGGCAGGGGGGGTTAAGGATAAAGATGATGACCTTACCTTGGTCTAGGAGGTAATGGTTAGGGTAACATACAACCCTGATATGTCCCTTGTGCAGATACTTCAAGATTTTGCCTTTGAAAAGCCAAGAAGGGCTGGGCCCAACAGACCCACCGGGTTGGACACCTTTTCCAGAGGTCCGTTTGTAATCACTGGAATTCCTCTAACTAAGCATCTACATTCCATAGTAATTTAGCGTCTAGGCCATACCTCATACCGATGTCTGTGTCTTTCTTCTATAAAAGGAACATCACCATAAAGTTTCCCTATAAAGATACAAGAGTGAAATTAATATCGAAGTAATCAAGTTTGGAACCCCATCCATAGCATATGTATGGGGGACATCTCTTCGGTCTCTATCCATATGTTAGAGGCCTAAGAATTAACTGGATTCTAGATAGTAATCTGGATTTTCTTCTTGCTACAGAATAGCGATAGCTTCTTCGAAACTCTGAAACAATTCTCAAGTAAGCCATCATCATTGCATAAAGGGAAGCTCTCTGTTACACAAGTTCACCATGGAGTCCTGCGGTACTGAGAGGCAGAGAAACGTCTGTACCATCGCTCTTGTGCAGGTTCATAACAGGGCTTGTTTTACAAAAGAACGAAACAAAACCAAGGAGCGGAAATGAAACTGAAGGACTTGCCCAAAGCCCAGCCCCACTGGCAGAACAGGTCGGTCCTGAGCCCAGGCCCCCTCACACCTGGCCCATGCTTTCTCCACCACACCAGCCACCTCTGTGTAGTGGCCGAATTGGTTTGTACCCCGCCTTAAAAATAAGTCTGTCCTTCGACTCTAAAATATGGCCTCTAAGAATTTACCCCGGAAAATAGAAACAAAGACAGAGAGTTCACCATGAAGATGTGCACTGCTTCATTATTTAGCAGCAGCCGATTGGAAATAAGCCGAGTGTCAGGAATAAAGGACTGCTGGGTTAAATGAGAGCACATCTATACCAATGATTCTGGGTTTTTTTAAGTTTTTTTAAACATTTATTTATTTGTTATTTTGAGAGAGAGATAGAGAGCCTGAGCAGGTGAGGGGCAGAGAGAGGGAAAGAGAGAGAATCACACTGTCGGCGAGGAGCCCATCTCAGAGCTCGAACTCACGAATGGAGAGATTATGACCTGAGCTGAAACCAAGAGTGGGAGGGTTGACTGACTGAGTCACCCCTGCGCCCCTATAGCAACGATTCTTAACCAGGAGTGTGTGGCTGACGGTCACGTGTGGGGCTGCTAAAACATGCCTCTGTCGCTGCGGGTGCTGCAGCATATGGGGCATGACCAGTCTGGCAATGGTCACAGTGATCGGTGGGATGGCCAGTGATGGTGTCAGGCAGATAGCAGTGGCATCTGTCACCAGAACCCTCACACGAACGCCCCCCCCCCCCCGGATCACGCGCAGAAGCAGGATGGCACTGGCACCAAGTGGGTTATAACACGGGAGCAGTGGGAGAGTCCAATAGCCATCCCCCGGGTGCCAGCCCTCATGACGGAGACCCCCAGCACACAGAGAAAATGTGAGAACGGTGCTGGATCGTTTCTCACGCAACTCCAGATTTCCAGATTCTGTTGAAAAATTTAGAAGACTGGCACCAGTGAATCCACAGTCCTTCATGTGCCTATCTGTTTTAGCAGTTACTCCTTTGATGGATCGAGTCCTTGTCAATTTGCCCCAGTCCCCACCATTCCCTATTGCCTCTCTGACTCTAAGGCCTGATTTCACTGCCACCGATTGTTGAGCATAAGCTGTGGCATTTTCTTACACCTGGCTGTCTGACTCATTTACGCTCCCAACCCAGTTCTCCTGGCCCAGCTGCTCAGTCCGATGTTGATTCAGTGCATCTGTCCCTCCTCAAGCCAAGCGTGTGGTTTCAGACAGGCTTTCGGAAACCAGAGTGGGGTCTACGATTTCTTGCTCTCTGCTTGCCTTTCACAAGACACTCCAAAACCTGTGGAACCCTGTGTTGGGGCTCTCAGCACAAGGCAGCTTTCAGCTCCGCAAGCTGTTTGGGTTTTTCTCTTCCCCCTTTAATTAAGGTCCAGCCATTTGGTATAGTGACGTGGTCAAGAGCTCAGGCTCAGACATCAGCTGAGTGACTTTCTAACAAATAACCTGGCTACGATGCCTTTCTCTCTAGTGCAAAATTCGCCTGGGTCCTAGGAGTGTTGAAACAAATAACCGAAATGATGCACATAACGTCCTAATTACTGATGCTTAGAAAGTGTACAGTCAGGGCCAGCCACTCTCTTTGTCCTTCTTTATTACTTTCAGATTTTGGTATACCACTTCCTTAGTTTTTATAAAACATCTCATTTAAGTATCTAAACTCCTCCTCTTTCCCTAGTTTTATGTTTCATGATCTGCTTTTACCTCATTGTGCTAGTATAAAAATGCTAATTTTCTATTTTTGAAATGCGAATCCTTGCCTTTAACTCTACATTTTTTTCGTTGCTGGTATCTCTTCCCCTCCACCCGACTTAGTATTCGTATCCTATTTTTAACATTTTTTTTCTTAGAATTTTCTCTATGCTTCTGCTAGTCCTATTAGAGACTAGAACGAAGGGGTGCCTGCTCGCCCTCTCCTCAGACTCACTGCTTCTCCCCTCCCACTGCCATAGTGGGACCGTATTCTCTTTTTTTTTAGTATATTCATTAAAAAATTTTTAATTTGAGTATGGTCGACCTACAGTGTTATATTCATTTCGGGTGTACAACATAACGATTCAGTATCTCTATGTTATACTGTCCTCACCACAAGTGTAGCTACTGTCCGTCACCCTATAACACTACTACAACACCACTGACTATATCCCCTATACCTTTTATTCCATAACTTGTTTATTCTATAACTGGAAGCCGGTATCTCCCACTGCCCTTCATCCATTTTGCCCAACCCCCTCTAGCAACCCCGTCCCCTCTGGCAACCATCAGTTTGTTCTCCGTATTTATAGGTCTGGATTCTGTTTTTCACTTATTTATCCATTTGTTTTGTTTTTTTAGATTCCACGTTATGAGTGAAATCATATGGTATTTGTCTTTTTCAGTCTGACTTATTTCACTTAGCACAATACCCTCTAGGTCCGTCCATATTGTTGCAAACGGCAAGATCTCATCCTTTTTATGGCTGAGTAATATTCCATCGTGTATATATACCACAGCTTCTTTCTGCATGCATCTATTGATGGACACTTAGGCTGCTTCCATATCTTGTCTATTGTAAATAATGCTGCAAGAAACATAAGGGTGCAAATGTATTTTTTGAATTAGTGTTTTCATTTTCTTTGGGCAAATTCCCAGTAGTGGAATTACTAGATCATATAGTATTTCTATTTTTAAAAATTTTTTTGAGAAGCCTCCATACTGTTTTCCACAGTGGCTACACCAGTAGTGGGGCTCCCCACTCTTAATACTAGGTCATACCCAGGGGCACCTGGGTGGCTCAGTCAGTTAAGCATCTGACTCCTAACAATCAGGTCATGATCTCACAGTTCATGAGTTAGAGCCCCGCGTCCGGCTCTGTGCTGTCAGCTCAGAGCCTGGAGCCTGCTTCAGATTCTGTGTCTCCCTCTCTCTCTGCCCCTCCCCAGCTCATGCTGTCTTTCTCTCTAGCTCTCTCTCTCTCTCTCTCTTTCTCTCAAAAATAAATAAACATTTTTTAAAAATACTAGGTCATACCGAGACCTTTGAGAGACAACCAGGTCTCATCAGATTGACCATATACCCTTCTTATTAACGATCCTAATAGCCACACTCGAATAGTGCTTTTTCTGTGCCGGGCACTGAAGGATCCACATGCATAACTGATTTAACCCTCCCAAGGACCCCACAAGGCAGGAGGCAATCTGCTGTCCGTTTACAGATGCAGAAGCCGCAGTGTAGCACGGTAAGCACCTACAGAGCCGGGCGCCCAGAGCTGGGGCTGGAGGGGCCTCCGATGGGACAGTGTGGCTCGGGCAGCTGGGCTGTGGGCCTCTCCACCAGCTCCCACGGGCGAAGTGCTCGCCACAGAGCCAGTTCAGTAAGAGACACAGAAATGCCGTCTGTTGTTAGGACGAAAGGAGCTATGTCCCAGAACCGTGAGGCCCCACGTCCACAAACACACTAGCAAACGGTTTCCCCAGCAAAAGGCAAGAAGGAGCAGGGGAGAGAGCCGCCCCGCAGCGTGGAGCACCAGCAGGGAGGTGGAGAGGCGAGGCTCAGCGCCAACAAATTGCCGTGCCGTGGACTTGCAATGTCCCTAAATCCCCGGTGACCTCTTTTAAATTGTTTTGTAAATCACCTCATTAACCGAGCCAAAGCTTTTTGTATGGTGCAATTTTTTTCTCAAACCTCCTAACAATCTAACCACACCAGGAACTAGAAGCTGTTTTTCTCTATCAGGGCCTTGATAAGAGATAAGAAAGCAAAAGCAATTTGTCTAGCCAGTGAAAATCTGTTCCACCTTATCCCCTTTGCTTTCAGTGCTTTCAAATTTGAGATTGACCACTCTGCATTTCCAAGGCCATGCATTTAGCCCAGATCCAGGGTTAGCTGCCACTCACTCAGTACTTCCTGGGTGGCCTGTTCCTCTCCGAACAAAAACCTTTTTTCCCTTAGAGCGAAGCAGGGCCAAGAGTTTTAGTCAAGACTCCTCCTTATCCTGATGAAATGCAAAGACGATCCCCAAAAGAAAGTAAGTCTTTTCCTAAAGCACTCAATTTCCACTTGCCACGGGCTCCTCCCGCCTAGATTCCGGCACACACACTGCCAGCATCAGCCTAGTCATCTGCCCTGAGGATGAGGGTCATCCTCTCAGAACTGTGATGGGAAATCACCAGGACCTGGTCTCCAGCTGGATACACTGCACTGCAGAGGGCTTCTGGTTCCTCCCAGAATGTGCCACATTCTCCACTGGACTGGCCGCCCCTCCCGGGCAAAATGGCATCCACTTGCTTCTAATGACCCCACAGCCCAGCACAATGCTCATGGGTGGCCCTTTCCCTCCTCTGCCTGCCCCCCACCCCCACCCCGCCCCGAGCACTCAGGTCTGCTCTGCACCCTTCTACCCCCGCAGCATTCCTGTTTCTAAAAGCAAGGGCCCCCTACCATTTGGGTATTGGTTTGGAGGGCAGAGTTTCTCAAATTGCACATCAACTATGGGATTGCTTTAAACTGAGTCTAGGGGCGCCTGGGTGACTTAGTCGGTTAAGCGTCCGACTTTCGCTTAGGTCATGATCTCGCGGTTCGTGGGTTCGAGCCCCGCGTCGGGCTCTGTGCTGACTG